TTAGCCTCCCTATACACATGAGAAATTCGGACAATCCAGTCCCTTGAAAAAAAGCCATGGCACAACCGCACCAGGAAAGACAACGGGTTCGTCTCGCTAATCCCCTAATCTAGTTACTTATATAGAAGAGAAACTTCATTAAATGTTTTTTTTTTCTTTTTCCAAAAAATGTTCTTTATAGAACTACAATTTTAAATGGAATACATCAAACCAACGTAGATTGCAAACACATTATTCATATTTTTGTTACATCATATAATAACACAATTTTTTAGTTTATAAAATAAATTATTTATTAATCTAGTTGTTCATAGTATACGTAAAGTAAGTTAAAACTCATAAGACGAATTAAGTTTAACTTTTCAAACATTACCAGTCCATTTTTTACAGCTCACTGTAACTTTGTACCATGTTATTATTTAATCTAAAACACTGAAACTTCTAGCAAAAGTGAAATTGAGAATATGATCTAATAGATTTTTCCATTGCTCAACTGTAAAACCTGATAAAATGGAAGAGAAAAATGTTTACCTCTAACTCTATTCTCTCCCGGAATTCTCATCAACAATATGATTTAACAGAGTTAAAAAAAAAAAAAAAAAAGACTAATCAGATGTTAATGGATGTGCTTACAATTAACTTCTCTCCACGAGACAATTCTCTTCCATAAACACGAAATCAAAGCTCAGAGAACAAATTAACAGAGTAAACAAATAGAGTGGAAGACGGAGCGAGAGACTGTTATTTTACTTATTACCCGTGAGGCCGTGAAGAAGCATTGTTGTGAGCAGATGCTTCAAAATAAGCTTTTTCAGCAACATCCAATCTGTCTTGAAACATTGTCCACTCTCTCCTGCATCTTTCTCTCACCTGAAAACGGGAATATAGATACAAGTCATACAGAATTACAACGCAAGAGGATCCTAATCTTTAACCGAAATTAACAAGGATGAAAAAAGACTAGGGGATTCGTTGTATTATTCATTCTTGCATCGGTATTTACCCCTTCCCAAGGTTGTTTTCCTCGCTCTGGTTGTCCCTGTCAAGATTTCAGATGCACAGAGATTAACAATTCTGTTCTATGCATTTACATCACACGCTAATGTAGTACACTAAGTAGCACCAAAATGAATACGGGGACTGTGAAGCAAAATAAAAAATTTGTAGGCATGGGTATGTCAATGACTAGATGTTTCTACTGTATAAATGTGAATGCGTCATTACCGCATCGAAAAATAATTTCGAATTTTCTTACTACATCTGTGTAGGTTTTGAGCTTGACATGTATGGCTATATGATTAACACAACTACTCTCTAGAGTCTTGAAGGGGACTAGTTTTCCTATGATATATATTCAATGGAGTTTTGTTATACAATTTCCAAAGGCAGTCCACAAAATGCAATATTTTAGTTTTGTTACCCACAAAATGAAGATAAATATGGATTTGAAAGCATACTTGATTTCCGAGTGATGGAACACCTTGATGAATAATCCACTGAGCATCTACAACTCCAATTTTCTCGTGTGCGTTCTGTTAAGGCAAGTATGATTAATGAGGATATATAACGAGTGTATAGAATCAATGAGAGAGGGATCTAGATGTGCATATGGTCTGTAAAAAGGAAGCTGAGTTGCAGACCTGAACACATTTCCGAACGGCAAAGTCCAGACCCCATCCATGAACCAAATCGTTCTGCGGTTACAAGGTAACAATTGGAATTTGCTGAAGACGGTGATTTTTGAGTCAGTTAAAGAGAGAAGAATAGATAATTTGGTTTTCTTACATACCTGAATCATATGCCACACACAGCGCCATGCTTTGCGGGAGAAAACAGGAGCCATAATCTCCACAAATCTGATATTGGTTTTAATAGCAAGAATGATGAGACTATTCACTTTCTATGCAAATCCCTTTTGCTAAGTTCATTTATATTGATATAGTTAAGTAAAGTAGCATACGCTGCACAAGGAGGTAAGTTGGGATCAGTGCACCACCCATTCCTCTCCTCAGCATGCCTGCAAGAATAAACGAGGGGAGATATGAGTAAGTGTAGAACACTAAATATGATTTAAGAAAACAATTTAGAAACTTCATTATATTATTCTAACTTGTGGACTTCAGTGTCGTCTCTTTTCTTTGTCATTTCCCATGTGAGCCCTTCATATGGCTCTAACCCAGGCTGTGAGATTTCCAAACCATGTTTCTTCACCACGGCCAGATATCTGTCAAAGAAATTTAATCTTCATAACCTGGATTGGCTATTAAAAGGAAGTCCAAGCTTCAAAAACATACTTTTCCGAATCAAAGTGTTCCACACCAAGATCCTCGTCCCATATGAAGATATATTCATAGGGGGCAACTATGTCAGGATGAAGAAATCTCTTGGCATACCACCTTCAGGCAAAATTCATAGATTTTATTTTTAAGTAAATCAGTCACTATATAGAAACTCCTACTAGGAGGAAGATTGGCGTTCCTGCTTAGTAAAGTAGCCACTAACCATTTTGTTTGTTTCCGAATGCTCACATGAATGGCTCGCTTGGACCATTCAAACTCTTCCCATTCGCTGGCCCGGCCATCGTAGTGAAAGAGCATTATAGAGAAGTTATCTGAGAACTGAGACATGTAGAGTCAAGCAATAATTAAGTAAAAGAACGAGAGAAGAAAAGAAGTGTGGGAGGCAGGAAACCTTCTTCAACACAGTGTCTATATTTTTCCTCTGATCATAGCCAACCGTAAATGTTACTAGATACCGCTGCTTGATTGTTAAATCCTGCATGACATACCAACAAAATGTGACATGATCTTGAAGCCCTTCTCTAATCAAAGCCAGTAGTTTCAAATTTATGAACCTCATTAGGGTCACCCCACAGTCGACGGAGGTAAAAATCTGATTCAGGCGTGACTATATCTGGGGGTAGCCTCTCAGCACCACGGGGGTTAGTAGGAACCCATATCTGCAATAGCTCGAAAGTTCAATCATCATTTTTCTATTAAAACATAGAAAGTTAAACAAACAGTGAACCAAGGAATCCCAACCTTAGTGTCACTATAGTTATAGGGAGGGTCAGGGATGTCATTCTTGAGTTTGAGGCCTTTTGTCGAAGACCAAGAACCAAATAGTCTTTGTCTGGATATGTCCGAGTATTTATCCTCAATGTATGCGAGATCAATCGATGGAAACAATGTGGATGGAAGATTCATCTATCCATTTTCAAAATAAGAAGATACAAATCATCACCGTGTAAGCAATGACATAATCAAGTTTAAAATGAAAGGAAAAGGTATAGACATGCTGCACGAAGCGAAGATTTAATCTTACCTTAGTTAAGGTCAAGGTTGGAAAGGTAATACCCATAAGGAAACCAACAATAACCCCGAAAAAGGATGTTAATAGAAGCCTCATCATTTGACTAGGTCTCTCATATTCCACTGTATTTGTAAAGTTAATACAGATAAAGATGGTATACAAACAAATTTACATAGATAGATGTACCTGATATAATTACTGTACTGCCTATATATGTATTGAGAAAAGTGTAAAAGCACCTACCGGAGTATATATATACCTACAGGTTGTGTATCTGATATCTACTGTCTAAGCACGCGTAAAGCCGTAAAGTCGTGATACGAAGAACTGCACACTTTCATTCCTTCACTTGCATCACATTTTCAATGCTTCTAACTACAAAGCACACACAAACAAAGAAACAGCAAGAGTAAGAAAACAATCACAAAGTGTAACATTCAAAATCTTTACCTAATAATTCACAATAAAATCACAAAAATTCAATTTCACCATTCCAATATCAATTGTTCCTTGTTTCTTGACAACAGTTCTAAATTATTTCATTTACACCAAATCAGTTCGATCATACCAAAAAACAACAAATCCATTCTAAATTCTATTTAAGGCAATAACAATTCAGTGCCACAATAAACACTGCGACATAAGCACGGACAACAATGGAAGAACATGCGATCATATACCGAAATAGAAAGGAAACACCAGTTTCGGTCCTGTCTGACTAATTGACGACAACAAATTCAGAATTCGACAAACACAAAAACTCAGAAAGCGATCGATCACCATTAGTAAACGAATTCTAGCTTCAAAATGTTTGGATCTTCTTCAGCTTTGGAATCCAGAAATGGTCCACGCTTTATCGAAATTACTGCAAGGAAACGGCAAAATCGGCAGCTCAAAGAAACTCGAAAGTTTTTGTAAAATTCTCTCTTGTGAACTTCGGAATTGGGAGTTGATTTACTTCGTAATCAACCAAAGGCCCATTAAAGGCCCACTTTCTTTAAATTGGGCCTTTCTTTCATATACACATGGCAGAAGGAAATAGGAAGTTATAAGCAGCAAACGAAACAAAAAAAAAGTTAAGCTAACCACGTGGCAGCTAAACAAATAAAATTTTGATAAACACTGTATATTTTTTTTTTGTCAAAGATGATAATCACTGTATATGGCAGCTAAACAGATAAAATTATGATAATCACTTTCTATGATTATGATTATGAATATACTTTACCTTAGAATAAAAAAATAAAACTATACATCAACAGGTGTTCATTTACCTATGTTGCTTCTTATTCTATAGTGTTTTTTTTTTTTTATAAACTTTTTAAGTTAAGATATAGTATAAAGTAAAATCAAATTTAGTATAGGTTTTTTCTTATTCTATAGTGCTTTTTATTTATTAAAACTTAACTTAAAAATAGTATAAAGTAAAAAAGATCAAATTTAGTATAAATTAATCTAATAAGGTTCTAATTGTTTGACTCAAATTATGATAAAATTTGTTTTTAATTCTCTTAAAGAATAAACTTGATTAGTATGGCTCAAAAAATTTACTTAATTCCTATAAAAAAAAAAAATTTGTTGTATCAGTCTAATCCAGATTTATATTACAAACTCTCATTAACTACAAATATATGTATTTAGAACTATAGAATATACTTTGGAAAACTTCCCCTTTACATAAAACGACGTCGTACTCATTCTTGATCTGCCCAATCACAAATCAACAAAACAAAACAATTTGCATTTTTTGAATTTATTAAATCGAAAAAACTGGGATCTTTGTTTTCTGAGATTTTCTCCTTCTATGTTTGAACATTGAACATAAAAACTGTATTTTTTTTTTAAGTTTCCAGCAAAAAAAATTGAAACTTTAAGTGATTGGTATTTGAATTTGTATTTTTTTTTGGTGGGTTTCTTTTTCGGGATCGTTGTCGTGGATTTTTGTAGCAGCTTGAAGGACGATGTCGTCGTCGCCGGACATTGCCGGAATTTTAGATAATACGAAGGAGCTTGATCGGTTAAGGAAAGAACAAGAGGAAGTTCTTGTGGAGATTAATAAGATGCATAAGAAGCTTCAAGCTAGTAAGTGTTTCCATTTTCAGCCGAAAGTTTTGGTTTTTACTATCCAAATTTGTGATGAACCAAATAAGAAGCTTTTTGATCTTCTTCTCTTAGTGTTGATTTTCAATTGGTATTGATTGTGTTTGATTAGTTATGGTTTTTTTGATAATTTTGGTTTGGATCTTCAAGTAATTAGACTATGTAGTAGATAACATTGATTTAAATTAGATACTGAAAAGTTTGAATTTTGAATACAATTATCTGCCAAATAAGAGACTATGTAGTTAATCATGGAAGTTTTGTTGTAATGTACATATTGGTATTATGCTTCAATGGGGAAAAAGGGAGGATTTTTAGCTAATTTCATAGTTTTCCTTTTGACATTTGTTCTTGTGGATCTCTAACTTGTTTGAGGAGTTTTTAATTTTCGCGATTAAGCGCTTATTTCGTAATTAGAAAGTATCTTTGTAGCGGAGTCGATTTATCGGTTTATCTTATGGATCAAACTAATGCAAGCTTATTTCAGCTAGGATAGCTTTGTGTTAATGCAACTATATGACTGATACCAAATGTAGTAAATTAAAGGAGTCACAAACAATCTCTTTTTGCTTGTTTATGAATTCGCGTGACCATCAGCGTTTGAATGATCTTTTATGGAGGCTCTAAGACTCATCCACTTGGTAAATTATCTGGCTGACTCGTGTATGTGTTTGAAATGCAGCGCCTGAGATAGTTGAGAAGCCTGGTGATACTTCATTGTCAAAGCTTAAAAATTTGTACATTCAAGCAAAAGAGCTTTCAGAAAGTGAAGTAACGTAAGCCAGATTTCTTCATCATTTTCTTTCAGTTGGTTCATCGTCGAATACACAAGTTTTGAATGGTTTGGAGTGATGATACAACTATAATGGCAGAATTGTCCCTGTGCTAAAAAATATATTCTCTGAACTTATATTGCTTGAGAACCATTAATCTCTAAAGCTTTGTGTTTAACGCAGCGTTTCAAACATTCTGCTTACTCAGTTGGATGCCCTGCTTCCATCTGGACCAACCGGGCAACAACGCAGAAAATTAGGTATACTTCGATTACCATTTAGACTCTTCTTTGAATATTTTGGGCTAGTCTTGTAATGTTTACACTTCGAACAACATTGTTCTTGTGAAATAGATAAGTCTTGATACTCTTTTGTGTCTCAAACCTCCAATGATTTGATATATATAAGAGGGATTAAGATTTTCCGATGCTTGTAATGATATCACATAAGTGGCAGAAGGCAACGAACAGAAGAGAAAGAGAATGAAAGTAGATTCAGATGTAACAAGAGTTTCCCCTTCCATGAGAAATCAAATCGAGGCATATGCCAGTCTAAAGGGTGAACAGGTACAACAACAGCTACGTCTTTCTTTGAGTTAAATCACTTGTTTCCTCCAAAAAAGGCAAAATTTTTTGTGACATCTGATTTATGCAGGTTGCTGCAAGAGTCACAGCCGAGGATGCCGAGAAGGATGAATGGTTTGTGGTGAAAGTTATTCACTTCGACAGAGAAACAAAAGAGTAAGCTCAAACCCATTTAGTAAGATTCAGACATTGGTTAGGAGAGGGAACAATCTATATTATCATCAATTGTATGTGTATATATGTGCTTAACTTTCATGAATCTGATGGTCAAGTATTCATATATTTGGATTAAACTTGTAGATAGCCGTTATGACGCAATTATGGTATTTTTTTTTTCTCTTCTATAGATTCATATATGGGTCTAAATATTGTTTCAAACTTCTTTTACAGAGTTGAAGTACTTGATGAAGAACCAGGAGATGATGAAGAAGGAGGTGGCCAGAGGTAACTAAGAGCTCTTTATAACTCAGAAACTTTCGCAGTGACATTGAGTAACTTTCTGATTATTCTCTTGTAATCTGTAGGACGTATAAACTATCAATGTCTTGTATTTTACCGTTTCCAAAACGGAATGATCCTTCAAGCACACAAGAGTTTCTACCAGGGAAACACGTGTTAGCTGTATATCCAGGAACCACAGCCCTCTACAAGGCAACTGTAATAAGTACCCCACGAAAGGTGAGCTTTCTTCTGCACCATTTCAAGCTCATTTCAACAATGTAAAAGATAGAAACAAACTAACCTCTAGACACTCAAACCTGCATGTTCCAAATCCGGTTCCAGAGGAAATCTGACGAGTAAGTTCCTCTACCCCTTTGTTTGAAGCACTTTTGGTTAAGATTTAGGAATCCCAAATGCTTATGATAATTTCTGATTATATCAGGTACTTGCTAGAATTTGATGATGATGAAGAAGACGGAGCATTACCTCAAAGAACAGTGCCATTCCACAAAGTGGTAGCTTTACCAGAAGGCCACCGCCAGTGATTTTAGATGGATACAATGAAATAAGAGACGATTTCCTTAGGCCAAAGTATAAGTTAAGAGTTGTGGCGTTTGTTTGTGATGATGACTTTGAAGAATAAAAAGGTATGTTTTGACTTTTTATTATTCAATTTGTGATAAAACTACTCTAGTTACAGTGTAACATTTAAATGTGTATATATGTGTGGGTATGTATATCATATTGAGAGACAATTTTAAAATTTTACATTTTACAAGCTTTTGTAGTTTTCATCCTATATCACAAAAGCTTGTATTTGCAGTTAATTCTGCATTTGTGATTACCAACCTTCTATAAACTAATATTGTATTCGACTTTTACTGAACTTCCCATAAACGGACGTCGCATCTATAAGTTTATCGAACATTCCGCAACGATTCATGCATCCACGACCGAAAACCGATAGACCAGAAGATTATCCTCTTATATGAGTCATTAAATCTGCATTGTCGACCAGATGTCCGATATACATTCTTTCCTTACTTGGATCTCGACTTGCGGTTCCCGACATTTCTTTAAACTAATCCTGAGCCACAAATGACTACTTCTCATGTGCCATTTAGTGGTTCACCATTCACCTTAGGAGGATAACCTATACCAGCTAAAAGGTCTAGCTGGGTAGAGACTAAAGACTGGTAACAAGGTTGTAGCTAAAACGGTACCGTATGGATTTTATGGCATGCCAAGACCAATTCTTCTTGTTTTGTATTGGATGATGATAATTGCAGTTCGGCTACTAATAGGTTGATTACATCAAAGGACCATGCTTCAGTGCAGCTCAACATTGGTCATCTTGGTGCTGATGGAATCTACACTGGTCAATTCACTACCTTTGCTCTCTGCGGTTTTGTCCGTGCTCAGGTTTGTCAAGTTTAGCTTCTTGATCATGAATCTTGTATTGTAGCTATAGAATTGGTCTTGGATCATTTTGTTGAATAGTATTATTGATCATGTAATAGTATTTTGCTCTCTTCAAACAATGTAGGGTGATGCTGACAGCAGTGTCGATAGGCTATGGCAGAACAAGAAGGTTGAAGCTAAACAACAGTAAGACCAAAAGGCAGTAATCTTGTTTCTGCAAAGATAATTTTTGGTTTGAAAGATAATGGAATGAGATGTATGGTTCTTGTTAACCTGGAACTAGCAATGAAACGACAGTAATCTGTTATCTTTTACACAAATTCAAGTCCTATTAGACCAAAATAAATCAATATTCTGTGTTTCAATGTAATGTTATGTGTAGTCGATAGGATAAATATTAGCAAAACAGAAGAATGAAGATGGGAGAATCTTAGGACGAATTAGAAGGTTATTCAAGTTTTGTATGTTGATGAAGGCATGGCTCCGTTGGTTACCGAGTAGCTTAATGACTATAGAATTGCATATTCTTTTAGCTTAACTTGAGATTTGCAGACAAGCTTGATACTTTTGAATTAATGTTGTTTGTACCAAAGTAACGGTCTGCAAATTCTCCCATGCCTGGAATCACACGTGAGTCCTCATTGAGGGATGCATCGATTTCCGAAGTCACAATCTTTAGCATTGGGAATTTCTTGCAGAGTGCATGGATACCTTGAGGTGCCTGCGATTTTTTCTTGTGTTAGTAATAATACTGATGACATATTAATTAACTTAGAAAAACATTGACAAGAGGTTTGTTTGGTTGGTCTTTACTGCTATAAGATTGAGAAAGATGATATGTGATTCTGGAACACCCTTGCTCAGAAGCAAAGTTATAGCTTTCACTGCCGAGTATCCTGTTAACACTTGTAGAAGGTTAGAAATTTCCGCAACAAGCTAAGTGTCCAGAAATATGAAACCTTTATATGGATTTCTACAAACCTGAAGCTAGAACAGGGTCAAGGAGGAAGACATGTCTGCTTGAGATATCTTTCGGCAACTTCTCATATATTAACTGCAAGAAATATTTTTTGAATGAGCAACTGTTGAGCTGAGATGTACGGGAAACATGTTCGAAGGCAATGGAATCAGACCTGACGACCATCGTTATTTTCTCTGTGAATGAGAATTTTACCAATCTTAATTCCATTGCAGCAAGCTCTTAGTGCATTCTCCATGCTTTCTCCACTATAAATATAGAAAACATAAAGCTATGAAGTAGAGGCACAATCCCGAGACAACAAAGCTTTGTATTTGGTACCTTCTGATCACTGAGACGCCACACAATCTCTTGCAGAAGTCGACTCCAGTGTACACTGACCCTGTTAAGTTTAAAGAGATGGAAACTTAAGTAACGTTTAATCTTAGCTTCGCTCAAACTTTTTAGTGGTTTAATTACCTGTTGGAGTGGTGATCTGTTTCTCTGTGAAAGGAAGATGACCAAGTCCATGTTCCACGACCTGAAACAAAGATATACACCTCCAGTCTTAGTTTTGATCCTTCTAAGAAACCTATCGTGAGAATTTAATGTTTGTTATAGTGCCTTTTTACCAGTCGAATCAATCGGTCAGCGTAAAAGACGAAATCATGCTTTGTTGTGTTGATGTCGCGGATAAGAGTATGCATTCCTTTGATCTGGAATGTTGAAGATATGATGAAGATGTTTGAGTATATCTTACAGAGATTGTGTTGGCACAGCTTTGTACGGATATGTTGAACAATAAGGTCAATTGCAACATCATTGTCTCCTCCTCGAGGAATGATTATGTCAGCGTACTTCATCGATGGCTGGATGAATTCATCAAAACTAGGCTTCACAAACTTTGTATACTGAAAAATGCAAATATGTGACGATGAAAAACTAGAACAGCATTATATAACCATCCATAAACACATTCAGATTCAGGCTATCATTGGACCTGTTCAAGCACATTTTGGATGTTTCTTCCTCTCTCGACGGTATCACGTTGTATTCTTCTCGAAAGCCGTACATCAGCATCTACATTGGTCAATTGCAATGTAATCTTGTGAGCTTATGACATTAATAATCAATGTGGATATAAAACATTGTGGCCTTGAATGAATCATCTATAGCTAAGGATACAACTAACCTGTATCAACAAAGATCTTCATGTTCATGAGATCACGAACTCGAGGATCATGAAGAACTAGGATTCCCTCTAAGATGATTACATCACCAGGATTAACCTGAAGTATATCAACATTAGGCCATAATTAATGTTGCTAATCAATAACTAATAGTTTTCAGAATCTCTTGAAGCAATTACCGGACTTGATGATTCAATGCTCTGGTGGATTTTGAAATCATAACTCGGAATGTTCACTGGTTGTCCAGATCGTAGTTTCTCCATACACGAAAGCAACACCTCGGTGTTGAATGCGTCTTGAATCAAAACGAAACAAAATTTTAAGAACAAATTTGAAACATTCTCAGATCAATCAAATCGATTTTCTCACCAGGATGATCGAAATTATATTCATGAACCTTCTTCAGTTTCTCCTCACTAAGCGAATGATAAAACGAATCCTGCAATCAAACACGACTGTTCTTTAATTTCTCAATAGATTCGTGATGTTTTTTGATGAAAACAGATTATGAGTTAATAATTACTTGGTTCACAAGGACAACACGTTGATCGTGTAACTGAGACATGATCATATTGCAAACCGTCGTCTTCCCGGAGGCGGTTCCTCCGGCAACACCTGAATTAACAGATCGAATATATCAACGGAATCAATATTGAAATCTCAGAGAAGAAATCAAAAAGCGTACCGATCACGAAAGGCTGTTTAAGAGGAGCAGGAGCTGAAGGAGAAATATAGTCACTGATCAAACAGTGATCTCTAACGCCATTAGATAATTGCTCCATCGTCTTCTTCAATCTTATGTTAGTCTTAAAGGCTTGCTCAGAAAAATCAAAGAAGAAGAAGAGAAAACAAATCTGAAGAAAAAAAAAAGATAGAGTCGCTCTTTAGTAACGTCTTGTATGGATAAATTCAAGACATTGGCCGTATCTTTATAATATTTCCTATTTATAAGAATGCGTAATAAACACGTCATTAAGTGACAAAAGCGACGTCGTATATTCTTGACAAAACAGTTTACGACGTCGTTTTTAAACGAGATAGATGATGAAACAATTGATGAGATTTGGTAAACCAGCCGGTACAATTTAGCTCGGTTTGCACAAACCAATAATTAAGGGAAAGTTTTTTTTTTTAGGATTCGAGAGAACGAAGTCTCCAAGTCTGATCCTCTCTATTGAAATCTAAGATGGAGATTCGAATGATCCTTAAACATGGGAATAAGACAAGACTGAGAAGATGAGATCATGAGAGTACACAGAGCCTTGATGTAGATCAATGACAAAAGCAGAGATATGAGATTGATATATTGATTCATTCCTCCATAGCTTCACCGACTTCTGTAATTTCGACTCGCTCCAGCAATGGGGTGATTTTGGTAAGAAGAACCTCTGTTACACAAGCAACCAACAAAATGAAGTGAGAAAAACCGAGGATTCAACCAGCTAAAGCCGAGGCTGGCGATGCTAATTTCTTTGTTGGGATTTCGAGAGTAACTTACCGGTTTTCTTGGTGAAGGAATAGCCTTTGCTGCTGACATAGGTTCTTGGGTTTGGTTCCATGTAATTCCTCAGATATTCCTTGTTCCCCTGTTTACCAACACCGTGTCAAATAATAAGCTCAAAAGCAACAAAAAAACATACAGATGTAATGCGAAAGAGTTTGTTTTGGTGGTGAATAACTTGGTCAGCTAAATGTGTAGAGGTTTTAGGATTGCACTAAACCAAATGGAGAGGAGGTTTTAAATTTATCTAATGGAAATGCTAAGAGTTGGGTTTTGTGGGGTTTGATGGCAATTGACTTGGTCACTGTAATGTCTATGAGAGGATAACTTAGGAGTCTTACATGCTGACCAAAGGGAGTTTTGTAGATTAATCAAAGGTACTGGTTAAAGCAGTGTGAAGACAAACCTTTGTGATCACGCAGATGTCCACGTTGCTACCACTACCCAGGTCATTGAATATACCCGAGCATATGGCTTCAGCGACCAGCTTAATTCCTTCATCCCTCTACAAGATTTTGTAACAATAAATTATCAGACAGAAGAAAATAATGTCTCTGGATATTAAAAGGTGAATGGCTTACTTACAGTCAGGCCTTCTTTATACTTTGCCTCAAACACAGACATAGCAGCAAGAGAACCAGAACCCATTGTAGCGAATGGAAGAGTGTCAGTTGAACCGTGTGGGTATATCTGTGTATAAGACAAATAGTCAAACATGATATGAATAACAACAAACAAACAAAAAATATCTTCTCACTAGATAGCATCTATCGGAATGTATAACTTACAGTATGGAGATGAGGGCCAGTGATATCAACTCCACCAAGCACAAGAGCAGCAGAGACATGACCTTGATAGCTGAAATGTAACTTAGTCAGTTAAATAATCTATGTTTCTTTAAGACGAATTTTTGGAGGAGAAAAAACAACTTACCTGAAAAGATGTTTTTTGAGAAGGGTCAAAGCAGTAATGACCCGAGAGTCTCGACCAGTCTGGTAACGATGCAACCGCAGCTGTGAGCTGACCATATCTGGACAATGAGAAAGAAACCAAGATAACTAAGCATCAGGTTCTGTGAAGCTATGCATTATGCCAGTTAGATTCTGATTTCTTTGACAGAGAAAACAAAATCTGCCACACTGAAGGTAGAAAGTATATATATACCAGTGACTGCTTCAGTGTCAGCCGCAGTTCCTGCACCACAGCAATATATGTTTGGTGCCATATAGTGAATCTTCTCACAGTTCTTATCAGCAACAATTGGCCCCTCAGTTGCTCGGGTATCTGCCCCTAGTATCACACCATCCTATGCAAACCCGAATACTGAAATCAGTTGTCTATTGCTTCCACAATAATATACTAAAAAGCAATCAAAAGACAACAGTAAGAGCACACGAACACCGAACATCATTACGCGTTTGAATGCTGTTCTCTAGCCTATACAGAGAGGCCAACAATTTTGGTAACATCCATCGAGTGCCAGAGTCACTGAATGGGTAAGTCACCAATCCCTAATAAGAGCTGATAATAAGCACCGCCATATTGGTACTAAGTAAACCTAGTTGTGGATGAAAGCTTACAAAGTTTTACAAGATACAACTAAAACAAGCACATTAAGTAGAGCGACTAATCGATGCGCCTGCAATACTAAAAGGGCTCAGTCTTAGCCTCCACTTCTTGACTGAACAATTCTACAAAGGATCTAATTTCAACATCCACAATACAAAATTCAGTGCATCTTAACACAACAGTTCCCATGACTAGTAAAATAGAACATCTCACAGCAAACTATTACTATATGCAATCTATAGGCAAGAAACTATGGGGGAATAAAAACTATTACTATATCACATTATCCTATACAAAACCCGAATATCAAAGTCAACATTATAGAGCTTCCACAATCATTTACTAAAAAGCAATCAAAAGACAACAGTGAATGCACAAGAACACATACATCATTACACGTTTGAATGCTGTGCTCTAAACTATACAGACAGACAGAGCTAATGATAAGAACCACCAAATTATCACTAAGCAAAACCTACTTGCAGATGAAACTCATAAAAGGATTTATCATGCAAAACGGAAACTGCTCGTTAATAACGACCCCAAAGAGTTTAACAGGATAAAAGTAAACAATCACACTAAGTAGAGCAATCTAATCACTGTGCCTGCGAACTCAGTCTAAGGCCTCAACTTCTTGACTAACCAATTCTACAAAAGATCTAATGCCAACTTCCACAACACAAAATTCAGAGCATCTTAACACAGTATCATTAACACTCAGCTCATTTTTCCTAAGACTAAGAACAAAACAGTTCCCATCACAACAAACTATTACTATATGCAATCTACAGAGAAGAAACTATGAGAGAATAAAAACCATACCTTGAAGATCAAACCAACGATGGTTGTACCAGTCTTCAAAAAAGAAGGAGCTTTAAGACCCTTTTGTGTAAGCATATCATTTCTCTTACACAGATCGAAGCTAAACCCACCCTTTGGCGGAACATCTACGGCTGATTGCGACATTTTTTCAAATTGACCAGCCTACAATAACAAAAAAGTTAAGTAATTTAGCATCAAAAACGATTACCCAAAAGAACGAACTAGTTTTCCGAATTCATCAGAAGCAAATTTGAGATTTGGATTGGATAATCTCTTCAATATCAAAGAGACAGTAACAGGAAAAAAAAAAACCCCAATAAAAGTTGAATCAAAAACCCTCGGATCGAGAACCTTAATGGCCGTAAAATCGAATCGAGCAAGAGAGACTTCAAGAAGAGAAGTGCGAGAGTGAAGAAGGAAGAGACCAAAAAAAAAAACTCAGCTTAAGAAGAAGAGTAATTTTACCTAGATGAATTTTGCTTGAATCGGAAAATAGAAGCAGAGAAGAGAAGAAGAAGAGAGAGGTGAAGCAAAAGTACAAAGAAAGACGGAGAGTTTTCTTCTTCCCCAATTAACCTTTAGAGCCACTAACACTTAGGGGCATGTTGGTCTTTATACTATTAGAGACTGAACTTTTAGGTTTGAATGGGCTTTTTCTTCCTTGTTGTTGAGCCCAATAAGGATACAGCCCAAGTAAGATGAAAGATTTTAAGCGTTTCAGATCTGTTGAAGCAAAAAGATCCCTAATTTCTTCGAAGTAGATGTTACGATTAGGGTTTTCTCAAAGATTCGTCTCTGACGAACTTCAATTCGAGAAATTGGCGTACCCATACCACGTTGCTCTGGTCGCAACACAGTTTTGTTTGATGCAATATGCTGCCCGAAGGAGCGGATCTGACATTGAGATCTCAAAACTAAGCTTCCGTTGGGTGATGGGTATATTGGCTTCGATGATGGTGTCTCCGTATCTGGCTGCCCTCGTCGTCCGTGGCTACTACAAGGCCATTGGTTCTTCCTTTAGAGATTATGAAGAGATGGCTATGGTTATTGGTTTCTTATCGCTCATGTTCTTCTCTGTGAACTTGTTCGGATTCTGGGGATTTGTTTTTATTCCAGTTTCTCCTCCTATTCTCGCTTTGGTTGTGCAATTTGTGATCATGAAGCGAAGAAACGACATGAGGTTCTGAAGAGTGATTTGGTGGTGATCGGAGAAGAAGAAGCGTCGATAAGTGATTGATTAATTAATTAGACTAAGCAAGTGTTAAAAGGCCTTTTTGGGATCGTTGGTAGTAGTAGCTTTTTCTTAATTAGTAAAACGTATCTGTTGTGAAAATTCAGGTCTTGATTAGTGAAATATGCTTTATATTAATCAAAGTCCTATTATACTCTTAATTTTTTGAAATTAAAAATTATATTTTTAAAAACAATATTCACATTTTCTTATTTAAAAAGAGTGGGTTTTATTGGCCCAAAAAAAAAAAAGGATTCAAGCTTGTAAGCTTTTTGGGATATCGATCTATACTATTAATTGGGAAGCATTGGGTAATAAATAACCTTATAAAATGTAAAGAATTACAAAGAAATGCCATTACAAATTTTTGATTCTACAACTAAATAAAAAAAATCGTAGAGGGGTGAAATTGAGAATTTGCTTGACACTTACACGCGGATCTCGGGTCTAAGGGTCGGACCTATATCCAACCATAGTCGGTAAAGCACGCGGGTCCTGCGTATTGTGAATTTGTATCCGTAACAATCATATTGGGCTTCACCTATTAGGGCCTTTATGATGCTCTCGAATTTAGGATTGAGATCTACAGTAATTCAAGTATGAATAAATTAAATTCAATACTTTCAAATATATTTCCATAACAAGCAAAGCTATAAATTCGAACTAAAAAAATATCACTTCACCGATATTTCTATAACAACCCAATCCCGTATATTTCGATTATTAAAACAAAACTTATTTCTTTATATTCGATTTCATTTATTATTTTTACCAAAAATAACAAAATCTCTTTAAATTTCATTTAAATTCGCATTCAGTTATTAGTTTTACCAAAAAAAAAATCTATATAAATATATCAGAACAAATCAAGTATATACCTTAATTATTCTTATTCGAAAATATGGCAGTAGTTAAAGTTTGAATAAATTAGATTCAATAGCTTCAAAGATAATACCATAACAAGCAAAGCTATAAATTCGATTAAAAAAAAAAAAGATCACTTCACCGATATTTCTATACCAATCCAATCCCATATATTTTCTAATATTAGATTTCATTTATTAGTTTTTACCAAAAATAACAAAATCTCTTTATTCTGTATTCAGTTATTAGTTTTACCAAAAAAAATCAAAATCGCGAATCAAGCATATACCTTAACTATTTTTATTCGAAAATATTCTCTTTGGCGGTAGTTATCTAAACCCTAATAAAATGCTAGCCGACTTTGGATTAGTATAAATATAGGATAAAGAATGCCATTGAAGTTACACATTCACCTTTTAAAGCAATCAGCTATTCTCTTCCCGTTCCTTCCAAGAAAATGGCGGCTGCACCACTAGCATTCACCGATCTTGCTAAAATCAAGCCTTTCAAAACACAATGGAGCATCCAAGTTAAAATTGTGCATTATTGGACTCAATATACGACATACACAGGGGAAACAATATAAATGTTTCTTGCTGATACATCTGTAAGTAAATATCCCATTTTCAGTTAGGTGAAATCGTTGAGTAAACATCAATGTCATCCTATTATTAACACGAGTGTTTTTTACTCATATACAAGGTACTTTGATCCATGCCAATATTAAGAAACAACAAGTGAACAAGCTTCAGAGGTTTATCGTTTCTGGAGAGTGGCGTATTGTCGAGAATTTTACACTTGCCAAATCAATAGAAAAATACCGTTTTGATGTCAAATTTATAGTATAACCGCATAAGGAAACGATGAATGTGGTGTTCAAGAAAGTTTTTCGGAACCTATAAGACTAAGGGTTGCAAGAGACATTTGTTCTAAGAGGTAACAACCAATAAGAAATGATTCAGATCGTTCTCTGTTATACTATAATAATTTCTTCTTCTTTTATATTTTTTTTTCTGTGAACAGGTACAAGCTGGTATGAAAACGTGCCTTTGGCAAGTAAAGGAGTTACTGAAATCAGTTTCCAAAGAAGAAATGAAGTGTTTAGAATCGCCATTGAGTTATTTCCATTTTCCTTTTCAGACAATCTTAAACATTAAAAACAAAACACCTTAACTTTGTTTTCCAAAAGTTAATTGTGTTTGTAACTTTATATTAGGCAATTGGCAGTTAATGTGTTCATATACATAATCAGTAGCCCAGTTAAAGTATTATCAAACCAGAACACAAGTTAATGGATGGCCACTCTAAAATTTCGTAAATCAATCAAACAAACAATACCAAAAAATTGATTTCTACAACAATTTTACAAAATCTAAATTTATAACCGCAGCTATCCTAACTACCAATTAAAAAAAAAATAGAGAGTAGTTTTCATTTCACTAACCTTTAACATTATATAGGGCTGTGCTAACTTCTCCACAGCCAAAATCAATAGAAGCCTCCTCCATGTGAATGTAACGCCGAGATTATGCTTGCATGTATACATTATACATTTCCAAACTCAAATTTAATAAAATCATTTAACATACAATGAAAAAAACGTCAAGCCTAAACCTTTCTCTCAAAATAAAATGCTTAAACAGTAGCTAACATGTTCTTCAAATAAATAGTGTTATCATTAAAATATCACTAACCGTTAATATTGCCCCAGGATTCTAAATAGCTCAGAAGATGACATTGAAATTCCATTCTTCAAAAGAATTTAACTCTAACAGTAGCTAACATGTTCTTATCGACTAAACAAAAGTGTAAACTGAATCATTTTACTAACCTTTAATATCTATAGACAATCGAATTTCTAAAAATCTTAAATCGGAAAACAGACGATTTATGTAAAGAGATTGGTTTACTAGCTAACACACTCAAATTAACGATCCCACAACTGACGATTTATGTAAAGAGATTCAGATTTCTGTATTCTATATGTAACGATTTGGGTTCTTGACATTTATTGTCCAAGAACTCAGTTCAAACAGAAAATTTCAAAGATTCCAAATCGAATTGACAAATTTTTTAAAAAAATATGTCACAAAAAACACAATCAAATGCAGAGCTTACCTCTTTTATGAATTTGACATGAAAAGAGGTAAACGGAGACGTAATAGATCGATTATTAGACAATTTTGGGATTGATTCTTAGAAAGAACAATCGCCTGAGATTTGTAGGATGTTGTTTTTTATCACCGATAAGAAAAAAATTGTTTTTTCTTTTGCAATTATCTGTCCGTAACGAAAAAAAAAATGAGTCATATATTTATCTCTATATTTAATCCAAACAAACAAACGAATAAATGGATCCGTTGCAATAGTATTATGATTAGGGTCTATATATATTTCGGCCCACTATATTAAAATTTGGGTTTAGCGTTTCTCTTTTAATAATTTTCATTGGATCCCTTTAGCAAAAATTAATAATAACCATTGGATAAAGTTATAAACAATAATTTAGTATTACCAAATAAATTGTTTTACATTTTATTAAAATCTACATTATTCTATAAAAATCATAATCAATATTATAACTAAAACATACCAATTCTGCAACTGCCCAAATTATTTATATATTATTTACCAAAACCAAACAAAACTATGCAATCATTCAACAATAAAAACTTACTTATTTTTAACTTATATTTCTATTCTAAATGTATAACTAATCAAACATAAAACAAATTTGTGTACCAAATCTTATTAAAAACACAGAATATAATTTTGTAATAAATTTCTAATATTATGGTATATATTCATTATCTAATTCCCAAAAAAAACAAAAACAAAATAGTTTCTTAAAAACTACTGAAAAACAAACAAATTGATTATATATTTTATAGAACACATTTTTTAAAATATAAAATCCCGCACGTATGTGCGGGTCATGATCTAGTATTAATACTAATACTACTTAGTCAAGGCAATGAACATTCTCCAAAATCGAACTTCGGAATCATTCATTCATGATTATAGGTTCACTTAGTTAATTACAAATCTGATCAGATTAGGATTTAACAATTTAAACTGAAGATCATTTCTCAAAAAAAATTTAGTGAAAATGTATGTGTTGAGAAAATTTAGGTTTGATCGATTGCTATTGTTACTCATACTGTTATTGTATAAGTGAAACTGTGAAACCAAATCAGAAACAGAGTGATTCGTTTTAGTGAAAATGGGTACAAAGTATAAAAAATATCATTTTGAGGCCAAGAAAATATGAAAAGGATCTTGAACCTCCTAGTCCAAGCTATATATATAGCAGTGTTCTAAAAAGCGGTCTAGGCGGTCGTCTAGGCCCCGACTAGGCGCTAGGCTCTTATGCTACGCCTAGATAACCGCCTTGACCGCCTAAAATTACACAGATCTTGTTTAATGTATTTTTTCAATTTCAATTAGAATTTTATTTTTATATATAGTTATAATTATTCATATATTATTTAATATAAATATAAATAAATGTTTTATCTAGTTTTTCTTTATAATTTCATAATTTTTGGTTTTATATAGATTTTGTATATAGCT